TTTTTTTGCTTTGAAGTTCCTAAATGCTGAGGGCTCTGAATTTTCCTGACATTTCATGTGAATTTCAAGAATCTTTTTATTTAATTATTGAGTTCAATGAGGTTGAACAAGTCATGCCAAGAATGTATGTAGATTGAACAAAGGTAGTAGTTTTTATTTTAATTTAATTATTATTATAATGTTTTGGTAAATTTGAACTGTTATTGTGTAGAATTACAAATCAAATTTTGGTGACTTTTTTTTTTAATATTGTCCAAGTGCAACACCAAAATTCACTTATAAGAGGAAGAACTGTATCCATGAATACGAGAATTTTTCAGTTCAAAACTTTTTATAATTATAACTTTCACTATGGCAACGGGGCCGGGCTGAGGCGGTGAGGACAACCCGTCCCCAAAATTTTGAGGATATTTATTTATTTTATTTTATTTAAAAAGATTTATAAAAAAAAATTAGGCTACTACTATGAGAAGAATTTGGACTTGAGCTTTTTGTTAAAAAAATAAATATTAAATGGAGAGGGGATGAGGTGGGGACACCTCGTCCATCCTTGTCTCGTCCTCGTTTGTAACTCGAATAGGATATTAAATCCTAGGTAGGTGATCACCATATTTGAACTCATTTCTTCTAAACTCTTTGCTTTTTACATTGGTCGAATTGACCATTATGAGTATTAAAACAATTAAAATAATGGATACTTGCAATAGTTAGATAGTCTCATCTAAGTATAATAGTGCCTGGATCTAGGTAGTAGGGACAAACCTTCAAACAAATGGAAACTTTAACTTATTCGAGATATTAAAATTACTACACTTATATTTAAGTTTAGAGTTTTAATGGAAATAATAAAAATAAGAGTCCATTTGGTAACGTTCTCGTTTATTGTTTCTATTTTTTCTTTTTTAATAATAAAAAAAATATAATTGCGTAGCCCCAACACCCATGGATGCAAAAATGATAAAACAAAATTTTTATTTATGTTAGAACAAATTTAAAATGAGAACAATAAATATAAATAATTTTCAAATGCTTAGATTTCTTAATAAAATTGGAAACGAGAACGTTACTAGGGCCCTAACTTTTTTGTTTCTTTTTCCCATTTCTAATTTATTCCAACATAAATAAAAAAAAGAACTTGTTTTATCATTCTCCAATCCATAGGGTGTTAAAGGTCATGCAATTCTATTTTTTCCTTATCAAATAGAGGAAACAGAAACAAGAAGGAGAAACCTTACCAAACGGCCCATAATTTTTCAAATATTTAAGGTTTAAATCCCATTTCGGTCTCTAAGTTCAAGATTATTCTATTTTAGTCCATAAACTATCAATTTTATATTTTCGTCCATCAACTTTTAAGTTTGTTTCATAACATTTATTTTACTTTTAGCAAATTTATTATGTGGCTTTAAATATGTGTGTACTAATGTGTTAGCATGAACTAGAAATCGATCAATCATCCAATTTGAAGCAAGTGATTAAGTAGTTCCAGTTCCTACAAAGGATCAGACTAATAACATGTACAATACTTGAATTCTTGATGTAGATACTACATAGTTGGTTCTTATCATAGAGATTACGAGTGTAATAGGAGCATCTTGGTGGTGAAATGGTAGACTCACTAGACTCAAGATCTCGTGCTAAAAAGCGCCTGTCACACTATAGGAGTTGACCATGCCTGAAGTCGTTACCTTAATCGCAAGGAGGGGATGTCGTGGAGGAACTGGATTGAAAAAAGAGGGATTTCACTTGTAAGTATCTAGTGAAATCGACGCTAGAATTGAGATCTTTCACTGAGCCTTTCTCCAAGATAGTGTCCAGATTGTTACACCTTTTGTGCATGTCGGAACTTACCGAACAAGGAAATTGTTTTCAAAGTTTATTTTCAACATGCTTGATCACCATTGTTGGAAGATCTCCTTGTTAACTCTTGGAAAATTGTAATAGGGAGTGTTAAACTTCAATTCATGCTAGAATCTGCTTGAGTTAGAGAGTGGGTACTTAGGAATATGGCTACTATATGCTGTTGAGTTTGTCAACCCTAATAGCAGAAAATCTAGGACGTCTGGGAAGACTCCATGTCTGTTTGGCCAATATTTCAACATCGTTAATGTTATAGCATCATTTGTGTAGCCCATAAAAGGTCACGTTTACTTTCCCTTTACCCTTTTAAAAAGTCAGTGGTTAACCATTTTATTGTGTACTTTCCTTTTTAAAAACTACGTGAAATCCGTTTAAGTTCATATTAGTTACATTCAGTGAGCATTGTGGCATTTATTCCTTTAATTACTATTTTGTCCTTGTTGTCTGTTTAAATATTATCTTTCTTGAGCAATTATTCAAGTGTTTAGTGAGCAATCCCTGTGGATTATTCGAACTTTTTATTACTTGCTACAACGATGATGTATACTTGCACATAAGGGATACAAATACGTTCAACAGCATGCTGGCTGAGGAGGCAGCATTGAGACGCTACATCAAAGTATCTCAACGCTGTGAATGCGGGAGAACAACGCTGCAGGATCAGAGAGTTGAGACGTTAGGGGAAACGTCTTAACGTTGCCGCGAGGGGGCACACACGTTGAGGTTGCGCCTGTAGTGTTGAGACGCTATGGATAGCTTCTCAATACTGCGACGTTGGTCTATAAATACAGACCGTTTCTGCTAGGTTTCGTGAGCCGACTTTGAGAGGAAATTTATGGCATTTTGAGGCAACGGCTTGGGGCGTTGGCAACAGAGAGAAAACATATCGAGATCATTGTTTTGGTATAATTAGTTCTCGATTATTTAGTGAGTTTTTAGTTGCTGTACCTAAGTATAATGTTTAGAATACTTAGAAGCTAGAAGGCTTTTGTTGGGACTTCTAGAAGGTAAATATCGGGGAGAAATATTTGAGTGCTTGCTCGTATCCAATTCTTTATTAGTGGAACTAGACGTAACCATGGTTGGGTGAACCAGTATAATTCTTGTGTCGTTAATGTGCTTTCTCTAAAAGCTTATTATTTGTGTGTGATTGACTATTTATCTAGATGTAACTATAGAATGGAAAATTGTGTAGAACCCTAATTGCTACCCTCTACATCAAAATAAAGATTATCCGTTAAGAATTATGGTAAAGAAGTTTATAAATGTCAATGCGACGGTGGACTTGATTTTACGAAAGATGATGCAACTATTTATGCATTAGAAAGAGTATTTAAACCGCATAGATTTGGAGGTACTATTAGATAAGTGGATATTAAATGAGACACTATAATATAGCAAAGACTAAAATAGTCCTTTTTTAAAGTTAAATATTATATGAAAATTTAGAGACTAATTAGAAAAAACTTGAAACCTCAAGTACCAAAATCAAATTTAGACTAATATTTAACTATATAAGTATACAATAAATTGTACTAAAAAAAGTATATAATAATTTATTAAGAAAAACATTAAACTTGACAAGTACCAATCAAATTTCATTATAAACTTTCAATCTCATCGAAAGGAAATCTAGATTCAAAATTTTCTATTTCATCCACTAATTTCAACAAATATCAAATAATAATAAATTAATACACAAAATTAAACCCAAATAAATAAATACACAAAATCAACAATTAACTAAAGGTCTCCCATTTCAACAAAAAAAAAAAAATCCAATTCAATATCATCCTCTATTTAATAATTCATCGGAGGCAATGTGATCTTTTTATGGAAGTTGTAGCTTAGTTGGAGATATACGGCTCATCTATACTCATTTTAACTTTACAACATTCATCTTGAATTTATGGTCCAATTTTATGAAATTGAAACTTTAAGATAAAAATAGACACACCTCAATCTAGTTCAATTGATTTAGCGCACTGAACTTTAGATAAAAAGATCGTGGATTCGAATCTCCACCATGTTATTATATTGAAAAAAATATAATAATAAAAATGGACAAAACTGACCCTACAAAAATTAAAATTTATTTAGAAAAAGGAAGGAGGTTGGGGGCATAATAGTCTTTTCGAACAAGAAATGGATAGGATAGGCCTTATGTGCAAACCAGGGGAGCCATGGCCAAAACAAGAACGAAGCACAGTTATGCTCTTTCGTAGCTAAGACTGAGAAAGAGGAGCTTGAAGAACTCTGTAATGGCGTCTCTAACTCTTTCCCTCTGCGCAACTTTCGCCACTCATTGCCGAATCTCCAGCAAGCAGAATCTACCTTCATCAACCCCAATTTTCCCCTCCAATTCCCACCACGATTCGTTCAATCTCGCCCTTTCTTGTTCATCATCTTCCCATCCTTCTTCCCGTGCACCATTGCCCTTCGTCCTCAGGTCTTCGGAGTCTGAAGCCGCGGTTATCGAGTCTGAGCCAGCCGCTTCCCAAATCGTTGAAGTCCCCCCGGAACAGGCCCCTAAGCGCGAGGAAATCTTTGCAGTAGTTATGGTTAGTGTTCAATTTCACTAACTAGTAGCGTTTATGATTTCGGTTCCTCATTTCCCTTCAAGTTAAAAGAAACGTATGGTGGGATTTGGATTTGGATTTGCCTAAAATGGTGGATTAATCTGTTGCCATTCGTACGGGATTTTTGTTGTTCATTCTGTAGATTGGATCCCGTCAATATATAGTCTTTCCAGGGCGTTATATACATACCCAGAGGCTGAAAGGGGCTAACGTCAATGATAAGGTGGGCTTCCTTAATATCCTTCTCGTTACATGTTGGTTATATGAGTATCTTAGTGTGATTGTTGTCTTAAAGAGTTTAGAGTGTTATTGAATTGTTTGCATTTTAAGGTAACATTATCGTGTTGAGCAGTCATTTGCATTGTTTAGTTTACCTAAGGAACTGATTTTAGAAATTGGTTGGGAGATTTGAGGTGCTATTTGGGTGAAAGCCTCATCTCATATTCTGATGTATTTCTCCTGTCAAAGTGACAGAGTTGCCATTTTGGAACAATTCTATGGTATCTTTGTTCATGTCTTTGTACTTCAGCGAAGACCTACTTTATACTAATTACTTGTACCGTTATGTTCTTATAAAAAAAAAATTACTTGTACCATTATGGACATGAGGACATGTCACCATAACAAAGGGTCTGTCACTGTTGGATTACTTTTTGTCCTCCATGGTTCTAAGCTTGATTTTGTTAGTGAAAATTGGTTTTAGCGTGTGTAAAAATGTAATATGGAGCTTGTATTAGCGTGCTTGAATTAGATTGTTTGAGCAAGAAGCGTCTTCTGAACCATTTGACTTCCATGAGAGGTTTGACACATGGAAACCTCGATTTGGCGAACTGCATAGAAGAACCATATGACTTTTAATTTTAGGTAAACTTGAGAATTTGAAGTAGTGCTGCTTCATATTATTACTTGATTGGTGTTGCTGCTTGGCATCAAAGCATGCTATCTGTTGGATAAAGGCGAGATGAGAAGAGAATCAATTAGAGGGACATCCTGTGAGTGAGCAATAGAGGCTAAGAGCGAGAGAATGTTGTTAGGTTTTAAAGAAAGGTCAAGATAGTCTAGAAAAGTTGTTCTCTTGATGTCTTTTGGGGAGGGTTTCCTCAACCCTCTGCCTCTAGGTTGTTTTGACCATCTTTTTGGGTCCTTTTCTTATGCATTTCTATGTTTCCTATAAAAAAAAAAAGTTGTTCTCTTGGCCTAGGGGCAGTGTCTTGGGCCAGAGACAGCTTGGCAGGAGAGCTTCTATGTAGACTAATTTTTTCCTTTTTAGAAAGATATACATATACTCAGCTCTGATTCTGTAATAGATTTCATAGAATGATTGGAGTATTTTTGTCAGATTTCTTCGGATGACCTCTTTATGATCAATTGATCATGAATCTCGAGACATATCTATTATTCTTCTCTTGTGATGAAGAGTTTGTCCTTTCCCTAACTTTAGCAATTTTCACATGTTCATTCATGGATGGAGTCTCAAGCGTTCTGACCTTTCCTTGTAGTTGTATGTTTCTTCTCGCTTATTTGTTGATCTTCAGCTATCCTAGTTCCCATTTCTTCGCCTTGCTTTAGAAGGCTAAAATCTCAGAGAAGTTTAGGTTTTTCTCCTAGTTGATCATTTTGGAAGGATAAACACCATGGACTTTGTCCAAAGATCTAGTTGTGTCTGTTATACAATAAGGTAGCAGAAGCTTTGGATCATGTATCATGAAGGTGTCACTTTATTACGAAAGTTTGTAATAGTTTTCTTGAAACCTTTTGTGTTTGTTTGGCTTCTTCTAGAGGTTGTTGGAGCGTCACAAAAGGAGGTGCTCATTAATCCTCCTTTGCATAATTGTGTGGGGTTCTTTGGAATGTCGGAGGAGGTTTGGATTGTGACTGACTTCAATGTTTTTCTTTTGGTATTTTCTACGTTTTCTTTTTCTTGAAAAAGGACGAAGTCAATACCATGGATCGTATTCAGAGGATGTCTTCCTTTTGCCTGGGCCTGCAATGGTGTGTTCTGTGTAGAAGTGCCTTGGATGATTGTTGTGGACCTGTCAGTTCGCGCAGGATTTATGGCTTCGATTCTTTAGACGTTTTGGGATTGTTTGAGTCTATTGTAGGGCGATGATGGAGGAAGCGTTGTTATTCCCTCCTTTTTGTGACAGAGGTCGTTTTCTTTGGCAAGTGTGTTTTCTGGCTACGTTATGGGGTATCTGGCTGGAGAGGAACAATAGGCTGTTTAGGGGGGTGGAGAAAACTGTGAATTATGTTTGGGACCTCATTAGGTTTAAAAATTATATTTTAATTTTAATAAACATGTCCTTGTTGTGTCATTGTCCTAAATTTTTAGAAAATGATGTGTCATATCTGGGTCTTGTGTCCGATCTATGTTTCTTAGGTTTTTACGTTCCACATACGATGACTGCCATCATATTTGACAAACTAACAAATATCAGTTTTACTATGTGATTACAGACGGATCTTCTTTCATGTATAAATGTGAACCAAACCCCTCTATCATCAATGCATTATGAGATACTGTGACCATCTTAAAGTTGTTTAAATTTGTGATTGTGCAGATAACTCTGAATAAGGTTTTGCTTGTGGGAACAAAAACTCACACTTACATTGGAAAGCCAGTGGTGACAAATGCTGCTGTTCATGCTATAGTGGAGGAACAGGTAGTGCATCAATTTTTGAGCAATGCTTCTTTTCTTAGATTTTCTTATTGTTTATGTTTCGCTCTTCCTAATTTCTCACTTGATTCTTTTATTTAGGGATTAGATGACAAAGTAATTGTCTTCAAGTACAAGAAAAAGAAAAACTACCGAAGAAACATCGGTCATCGTCAGGTATTTCTCGGTCCTCGCCTCTCTCTCTCTGTCGTGTCATTCAATTTCTTCCATAGTTTGTTTCTGCACTGATTTAGAGATGATAGGAATGATTGATGTGCATGAGTCTAGAAAATGCTCTGAATACGGGTTTCGTCTTTGTAATTTCTGAATCTGTTTTAACCCGAATGGTGCAGCCGAATACGCGAATAAGGATAACGGAAATCTCTGGATATCAAGACTATCCAGCAGCCACACTTGAGTCGTAGAAACAAATTCTGATGAAATGATCAGTGGCATTGAAGATCTTGTCCTTATTTCTTGCCAAAAAATTCCCCCTTTTTTTGTATGTAAGTTCTTGTGAATCAAAATGTTTCAATTGAGTTATTTCTCTCTGATAATGAATCTCAGAAAGTCACTAGTTTCAAAATATGGTTTCTAGTGATCCAACCCTCAAATTCAGTTACATTTATTATTGGGATGGAGTCTCAGAAATTTACCAATTCATAGCACCAACATATTGAAGGGTATTTATTTATTTATTTCTTTTGTTCATACAAAGAGAGGGATTTATGCCTACGACCTGTAAAGTCTGGTGATATTTAAATTTGCTTCAAGTATATACTTTTTTATAAAAAAAAATGAAAAAAAAGGAGAATACACTAGGGCATACAAAAAAACAGTCCAACGGAAGACTCACCTAAAGAAAGAGGATCTAATTTAAAAAGATAACACGGTAAACAAAAATTTAGAAACCGACACCTACAAGGAAGTATTAAATCTAACCATCTCTCAAATGCCTTTACCCTTAAAGTCTTTTTAAAAGGAGACAACAAAACCTTCTCCATCAGAGAACTCGACAATCCCTTTTACTGTGACACCCCAAACAACTGATCCCAGATCTCCTAAGTGAACTGATAATACTACATTCTCTTAATATTGTTTATTAATATCATATTTACCATTTTTGTAAAATTTTTTACAAAACTTGGGAAAAAAATGTGAAACTATCAAATTATGATCATTGTGGATAAATTTTAGTATTGTAACTCTATTATTTATAACTTGAAAATTTTGCAAACTACTTGAATTACAAATTTGAACTCTTAAACTACCAAAAAAATTGATTAAAAATTTTTAGATCCAAAAGGATGATTTTTGCATTCTTTTTCCCTAACTTCTATCTTTGGTTGTTAATCTTGCATCTTAATCTTGTGAATACAAATTTTAAACCATGTACATCAAGCAACAAATTCATTAGTGTTCTCTAACTCACATTTTGAAAAATATCGACCCACATTATTGTACCGCTGTATACTTTGAATGTTAGATGAATCACTAGATCCTTTTGGTGCCGCCCTATCTCGATCCCGCCGAGCTGAAAATGTTCTATCATCAAACACATGACACCCACACTATAGTTCACATCTAGCATTGTAATCTTCTAAGAAACTGAGATTGTGAATTAGCTTTATACTTGCATTGCAAACTTGTAACACAAATGTAGACAAAATTGAAGGAAACTAAGAGTTGGGATTAACTTGTATTTCAAAGACAATACAATTTCCCCAATAAGATATTTGGGATATGTTTATCTATAGAGGAGAAAAAAAAAAGTTAGTTCTCAATTTGTAACCTCCAGATCCTGTATTATACCTTTTCAATATATAATGCAACAAAAATTATAATAAATAAAAATAACCTATATTGAGTGTAATCAGTGAGCTCCTAATGTGAATTCAAATATCTTCACCTAATTTGTTCCTTCTTAAGCCTCCAACCAACCGTCAATTCATGTGCTGAACGTATAATTCGAGCTATAACAGCTTAACGGTACACAGTCTGCATCTGAATTGGCACGGTATTGCAACGACAAGAATCGTCAATTAGGGCTTGGTACCAATATCTATCTGTACAGCACAAGAGAACAAGAGGGGGTTGGTATATACGACGTAGAACAAAGCAATGGAGAACATATGAAAAAATGCGATCCAAAAAGTCCGACCGAGCAAAACTGAGATTCTCAGTGTAATGCAAATGGCTTAAACTATGAACTTTCCTACGACTACATATAGAGAGCAATGAATCTAGTGACTTGCCAATATGGGGATGAACAAAACACCATTCTAGGCAGTACTTTCATGACTAGCAATAAATCTTAAAATCGTGAAATAATCGATGTCTGCTATAAATCTTTTAGATCTCAAGGAACAGAAGTACAACTTATATAAAAGGATCCAGATTCTGTTCAAGTAAGGTCGTGCTATAAACAATAATCTGAAACACACCCAGCTACAAGACTAGCTCAATGGTGGCACGTGAGATGAAATGAGTTTCAGATAATATGTGGACCAGTGGACGATTTTTCTTTCAATCAATAAGTTCAATAATTATATTTCAAGGGGAAACTTAAAAGTTCATACAAAGACCTGTTATAGCAGCCATCCATACACATGGCTCAGGCAGAAATGACGGAGCCCGAAAAACTGCCTTTATTCGTATACTCGCTTCCTCTTTAGAAGTGTAGGGAGAATGGAGATGAAACCAATGAAGAAAAGCACAGACAACGTTTTGAAATCGTATAAATCCTTGACAGATTTCAGATCCCCCAGTGCAAGTCCAGCCTGATAATAAGATAAATGAGTAGTAAAGTTATCTAGTTAGCTGAACCTGAACACATTCTTATAGACCAAGAAATTTCCGGTCATATGTGTTTCAACCATAATTAGAAGACAAATATAAATCATAATAGTCTTCGAAATATAAGATCTTGCGAGCAGTTGACAAAAGAACGAAGACGATCTAAATACGTAACCAGTGTTAGGAATTCCAACCAAATGTGGTGCTCAAAGAGGGAAGGTATGAGCAAAAATAAAAACATAAGAATGAAATAAACATAATCCTCTCAGTGTAGTTCATTATTTCCTATTGGTAGGGACATATAACAAATTATAAGAACAATTATGAAAATATTTAAATAAACCCTTTTCATCGGGAAATACATGACCAATTTAGGGACTGAACGGTCTGATCAAAAGAATAACCACTTTGCCCCTCAACATCGTATTTATGGGGATATTATGAATGAATATATTAAGTGTTAAGAGTGCGCCAGTTCTTGCATTATGCTCATGACCCACCCTACTAATCTTCATGGAGGCTTCCCCCACCAACTAATATTCAGGAAGGCTCCACTCACTCATGGCTATTCGTGAGACAACAACGGTTTTAATTTAATTTATTAGTTTTCCACTTGAAGGTGTAAACGGAAGATATTAGAGGACATCTCCAAACATCCCAGACAAACCCTCTATATAGAACAATGATTTTGGGCTGACAAAACTACGTTAACAGATAGATGAAAAATTTTAGTGTTCAATCAAGCAACCATCCCATATAGCCAAGCCAAGATGTGACAAGAGTCATGCCTCTCAATTACCAAGTAATGTTAAAGATAAGGTCAACCAAGACATCAGACACAGGAGGCACTTCTCCACTGGTTTCAAGTATTCTATTTTTTCTAGTGTTCAAAGCAAAGAAAATATTAAAGGAAAAAAAAACTGAAATTTCAAGTATTCTCCTTCAATATTTACATGGGAAACAATCTAAAAATTATAATACAGCTGACTTAAGAGAGATTCAATTTATGTATAGATTAGCAAACAGAGGAACGGCAACACAACAATACAGAATGTCGAAAAGGTTTCTTTTAAAAAAACAGGCAAAACAAATCACAACAACATCAAGAAATTTTAATCCACAATGATAGAAATTTACCCTGACTGTGATATAGGATGCTGGAACAAGGCCAATTAAAGTTGCCAAGAAGAAAACATGAAATGGGATGTCAACAATAGGTGAAGCCAAGTTGATAAAAAGGTTAGGCAATGTCGGTGTTATCCTTAGAAACAGCATATAATTGAGCAGCTTTTCTCGATGCTTTGCTATCTGGCCAAAGTCAAAAGTTCAAAGCAACATTAGATATGGCTAGAGAGTTGTCAAATGATCGAAATCAAATAAAAATTACAGTAAATAAGTACCTCTGCCTGGAACATTTTCAATTTTTCAGGCCACATCCAATAAACTAAAGGTCTTCCAATTAACTTAGACAGAAAAAAGCACGAGGATGCACCAGCTGTTGCATTAAATACAACTAATAAAAGACCTCTGATAACACCAAATAGAGCACCAGCAAGCAATGACATGAAAATTGTTCCAGGAATCATGAACGTTTGCATGAATATGTAAGTTGAGCAATAACCTAGAATGAATTGTGCTGGATGATCTTTGGCATAATTTGCAAAGAGATCCCTGCAGTATGATTTAACAGAAAAACAAATCAGGGAACCACAAATGGATCATCCAAAATCATAATGCTGTCAAACTAACTCAAAATGCAGACAGATGGCAGTAATTTGCATGAACATTCTGTTAAACTAACTATTAAACCCAAAAGCATAAGCAAATAGTTTATAGTATATTTAATCTTTTATCTGTATTCTTAACACTCTCTTCAAGGCTTGAAAATTAGTACAAAACCCAACCAGATATTAACAAGAAGGAAAATGACTTCACATAGATTCAAATGCAAGACTTCTTATTCTGATACAACGTTATGACATATTTAATCTCTTATCCACATTTCTCACACATTCAACCTATGAATACACCGACAGACGCCAACATTAATCTGCAATTCCAAGAGTTAGTGTGCATAATCAAAAGACACCAGTGACATCTATTTCCAGAAATGAAACCCCATGAAGTATTCCCCATCCGTTCTCAGTTTGAAACAAACCTTTCCCACCTTCAGTATCCCCATAACCATTTCCAAATTGTTCTCCTTCAATGCTCAAAAGTGACTTTAGCCCAACATTTCCAACCCTTCTCTGTACCACATACAATAAAAAAAAAAACAACCCTAATCCATGTTTTCCCTTCCAAGTTCACAGCACATCAACGATTATATTACAAATCCAACAGGCCACAAGGGGAGGGGGAAACAATAAAATGCCTTAATATGTTCCCAAAACGAAGAGGGGGTGAACAGAGAAGACATACTTAAGCACCCGAAGATCCGAGAGGGTCCGTGGGAGCTTAACGCTCTGGTACTCTGCAGCGGGCATCGTCAAGTAGACGCAGACAAGGCCAATGGAACAGACAAGAAACATGGCGAGAGCCGCGGCCAGCTCCCACCTCGTCAATGGAAACCTCTCGAATTTAGGCTTTTTCGCCGTCGGAGAGTCATCTTCCTTCAGCTTCTCCTCATCCCTCACCCCGACATTCCTCGAAGACGCCATGAATCAACCTAACCAAAGTTTTCCCCTCAAATTTCACAGGATTAGAAGGAGAAATCAAAAGGGGTCACCCTCGAAAAAGAAAAGGGTTCCCGAAAAGTAGCTAGCAGGACACTTCTACGGCGTTTGTGGGTTATATCAAACGTCAATATTTGGTCAACAGCATCAGTGAGACAATTTGTATTGCGTTATCCATAATCAACGCAGATCTGGGAGTTGTTGGTTCTTTGTTGGAAAATTGAAACAATCGCTAGCTAAATAATGGGAGAAAAATGTGTTTCTACGAGAATTAAGAAACTGGGCAATCTGAAAAAGACAGAAAACAGAGAAATTATCAGAATTTTGTAGTTAATTGATGAAGAAAAGTTTCAGTAGCGAAGGAGTTTCTGTAAGCCACCGTCTGATCTCGGAGAGTAATGGAGGAAGACGGTGAACTCATAAAAAATTTGACCCTCTTCTCTCTCTCCTCACAGCATCTCCCTCTTCCACCGCTTTATTTTATCATTTGTTTTCTTTTTTCCACGAAACAAATAATTCTATTTATTTATTATTGTTTTCATTCACACGCGTTATCCATGTTAAAAAGATGTTGAATTATACCAAATGTATATGAAATTTAGGGTAACTTTCAATAATTTTTCCGAACCTTTTTAAAGTTTCATTTTTACTCTTTGTTTGATCACAACAAATGACTAATTCTGTAAAGCTTGAAGTCGAATGCATGGCTGATGAACACTCAGAACTTGAGCATAGAGAGAAAAAGCTCTGATGCTCAAGTTAATTAAAGTCTAATCTATTACTGAGAGAGAATGAGAATGATATCGCATACCTGAAAAAGAAATCAGATCCCTTTATTTATAGGTTTTGACCCGTCGACATCACTTTCCAAACAATTACAATCATCCTGGAAATCGCATCGTATTGTCGGAAAAGTGGTTAAAGGTAGCGATGTGTGGTGCTTTGATCATTGACTCGTCCTTTAGGAAGATCGGCCGTTAAGATCATTATGGATCGACTCGACCTTTACAAAGACATTTATGACCATCGATGTGAATGTTGGCTCAGCCAAAGCAGGGTGGTTGAGCTGCTTATTCTTATTTAGAGATTTATGCTTTCTGGCTTTGTCATTACGATGGCTTGACACTTCCAAACCTATAATTCATTGACACGTGGCACTCGATAAATCACCTCCAACATTGGTCCTCACTTTGATAAGTCGATAGCTCAGCTTACCTCCATGTGACAATAGGTAATGTGTCACAGCTTGTCAAAGTATTGCCCTACGAGTGTTTAATGTGTCACAAGAATCAAGGCAATTAACTGACAGATTTGTAGCATAATCAAGTGCTGACGATCAAACTAGCTACTCAAATATGGACCATTAATTTCACATTGATTCAATGGTTGAGGTTTATTCCTCGTACTCTATATATAGTGCACCTAGCTACTCAGATATGGACCGTTGATTTCACATTGATTCAATGGTTGAGGTTTATTCCTCATACTCTATATATAGTGCACCTAATTTTCAAAACTTACGCTTTTTTGAATCTTAACTTTGCTGATCTCAAGCCGAGGGATATCATAGCTCGTATGTCCAAAGTACCTCTAGGTCAGTCCGCTTCCTTTTCGTTTAATTTATTTCTTAAGTATGGACATGTCGTCTCCTCTTAGGTTAGAAGATAACTTAGCTCGAATTTATGAGGATTAGGTAATGGAACCTTTTAATCAACCTGTAGTAGGTCAGGCCTTCACCTCTTGCCGAGGTAAGTCGGAATCTTATCTCTCGTCCTGCATTAAGGGTCTTCTACATGAGCTCTGACATATGCATAGAATTACTAATAGCATAAAACTTAGGCTACCATAGGTCGAAGAATCTTTGGAGGACCCACCTCATGGATTCGTAGGTTTTTACCCCCAAATGTTTGAATGTGGAGTTCGGCTTCCTCTTCATCCCTTCATTCAGCAGTTCCTTTCTGTGATGGTTCTTGCTCTGGCACAACTCACACCTAATGGTTGGTCGACCCTCTTAGAGTGCTAGTATATTTGGTGGGGGTTTAGCGTAGACCTAGCTGTAGGTCAGCTCCTAGCAACCTAATTTCCCTTGTTTACAAGGGTAAAAAGAAGTTCTAATATATTATTTTATGCTATATTTTGTTTAGAAACCATACTTTAAAGCTTATTTTTATGTTTAAATCATGCATTCTGCCTTATGATAGTCTAATGATAACTCTCTAAAAGAGAGTTATTATGGTAATTATTCGGGTAATTTTGTGTGAATTATTGAAGTTGTGTGTATGATTTAGCTCATAGGAAGAAGGTGATATATAATTTGAAGAATGAGCTCCATCCCCTTTTATTTGATGTTCTAGCATAAGTTCCTACTTATTTCTACTTTATTGGTTCTTTCGTGCAGAGTGAAAAGTTGAAGGACTAAGTCGAGAGAGGAGCATAGGATCTAGAGGAGAAATGGAGAAGCATTCTTATGTCAAAGCAGGAAAAGCTAGATCATTCAGATGTGATAGCATGAGTTTATAATGCAGTAATTGTCCCACACGGGATTTTTTACCATGCCCGTGCTAATACCAGCTGGGTGCCCTAAAATTAGGGCCTGATATAAAAGGGGAATGAGGACCCAGCCGACACACACAGATCCCAAGAGAGAAACATTCCTTGCATGTAGCTATAAGAAAGGGAATTGCTCGTTTTTGGGAAGAAGCTGACGACAGAAGGAGGAAGATGCAGGTTTTGTGTTGTAGGCAACTTTCCAAGCTGTGTTTTTGTTTTCTTCTTAAAAAACTGGTTGCTTATTTTACTTACCCATTTCGTTTTCTCCCTCCCCATGAACTAAAACTCATTTTGGGGGAGATTTCAGTGCTGTAATTCATAGACAAGTGATACTCTAGCTAATTTTGTTTGCTGTCAAATAGAGTTGTGTATATTTTTTCATCTTGTTGAACATTGTTGGCCACTTTATTCAGTTAGCTAGCTTCTGTATGATCCGGAAGGGTATACAATTAGTGAGATTTGCTTTATTTGTGGTTTAACTACTTCTCTTTAGTAGGTTCATAGATACTTAGGAATAGGGTCCCCTAACCATGCTTAGAACTCGTTTTTATTGCTTGGATATCTAGCAACAGGAGTTGTGGGTATGCATGTTAGGGTGTCTCGAAAGGGAACCATGTCGATTTGCGCAGTAGTAGCAATGTTATGCTAGAGTATAGGCTGAAAGTGAAAGTAGGAAATCTCCCCCCGTCTTAACCCATATATGTTATCCCTCATTATGTTCTCTATGCTAGAGCTTTTCTTGCCCCAGTATCTGCAGGCGGTGTTTGTTTCTTAGAATCATTTACTGCATTTTGTCTATGTTAAATTGTTGAAAGTTTTTAGCACAATCGTCACTATTTTACTTGTTTGCAACATTCAGTATTCTTGAACACAGTCTTAGAATATTACCCCAGTCCCTGTGGATTCGACCTCGTTCGTACTATAACTGATGAATATATTGTCACTTGCACTGGTATCCACCTCGGTTGTGAGCACGCAACAAGTTTTTAGCGCTGTTGCTAGGGACTTTGTCTTTTTATTTTAAGTTATAATGTTTAAGAATACGGTGCTGGGGAGAGTTTTCTCTTTCTTATATTTCGAGTTGGTTGTAGGTGCATGAACGACTTTGAAAGCTTGGAGTATATAATCGATCACAGAATAGAGCGAACTTTCCATAGAAATCAAAGAGAACAGTGAAGGAACCAAGCTACAACAAGAATGAATCCACCACATCGACCAAATGTAAGAATAGAGAAAATAGTAGATGGGAATCCTTTGGTTGTTGTCCCTGAAGCAACAGGAAATAGTATATGGAATATCCTTTTATGCAGAGCTCTGATACCATAAAAAAGGGTAGCAGAAGCAGATAAACAAAATAGAGGAAAGTGGCGGTAGTAAATCTCAATGCTATAATAGAAAAATTGCCAGTACTGGTGACTTCTGCTTTACTGATATGAAAGAATAAATAGTACATTTGCACAAAAGGATAGAAAAAAAAATTAAGGAAAGGATATGGAAAAAATCAGTCTGTCCAAATGAGATTGCAAGGATGTGGAAACTGTAGTAGCTGGCAAGATTTCAGTTGTATACTCATTATTTTAGTCAACGGTCAAAAGATATTTCACTTAAATGATAGTTGCTTTGTACCAAGTTTCTTGTGAGAGTCTATTGCCGTCAATTGAGTCCACCGTTGAAGAATCTGTTGCTTCAAATGATTGTTTTTCAGTCTTCACCCCTTTGCCTTGGCGTAAAATCTCTTGGTGTATGAAATTAGGATGCATTGCTGAGAAGCATTTCAAGCTTGGTTGGTCACTGAATTTGTTGAGTGTTTCGACCTCGAATATAGTGAGTAATCTGTCTACTCGTGGTATTTGACTGCAAAGGTAATCCATCTAACTTTTCCCTTTCGAGTTGCACCAATATCTATACTATTATGCTAAAATACACTAATATCTACTGCGTCTTTTATCACACGATATTAATCAATCATCTAAATAATCCACCAAGCAATATTAAAACTAAATCAAGTAAGAAAAGAGAAGACGACACCAAAAATTTATAATGGTTCGACCAATGTGGTCTACATCCACTGTGCAAGGTGAGAGCAAACTTATATTAGCTTCAACATCAAAGAACAATACAAACGGAACGAGGAGAGAAAAAACAAAACCAAGCTCTAAGCAGAACAACCCACGAAGAAGATGAGAATAAAAGACAAAAATACAAGAAGGAAGCTTCTGTATTTGTCACCTTCGCATGCTGCGTACACACCAAAAGAAGAACACGATGCTGCTGTGTTTTTTCTTTTTCCTGCTGCACCTCTACTTCATATCCACAACAAACATTAAAAAAAAATGTTAAACATATGGACTTAAATAAAAGCCAATCCACATATGGGCTTTAACAACAAATGAAGACCCATTTGAGATATGCCTTGAGACACCTAAAATAACAAATCACCCTCTTGAATCAAATATATCCTCAAATGAAGAAGTCAACTACAAAGTTGAACTCAACCTTGCATTTTAATATCATCATAAAGAAGAAACATTAGCCAACACCTACTTTAAGTAGGTTACAAAAAATTTATATTTTACACCTGGCAGAGACTTTGTAAACATATCAGCAAGATTATTTTCAGATGCAATCTTCTTTAGTTTCACTGTATTCTTGTTCACTTCAACTCTCAAGAAATAACTTTACATCAACATGTTCGGTTCGATCATGTTATAATGGATTTTTCGAAAGTGCAAGAGCACTTTGATTATCGCAATGTATAGTAGGTTATGCTATATCTCCCAGCATGTCTGATATCAACCCTTTCAACCAAATGGCTTCCTTAACTGATTCAGATAATGCTATATACTCTGACTTGGTAGTAGATAACGCCACTATAGACTAGAGTGAAGATCTCCAATTTATTGTATTGCCAAACACCTTAAACACAAA